GGTCCCTCTCAGTCCCAAGAGCGAACAAGCCCCAAAACAAAAAGCACAAACAAAAGCCTTCCCCCCACCAAGATTTGAAAGTATCTTGTCCCCTTATTGGTCCTTTGGGTCAGATGTCAGCCAGGTTACCTGAGCTTCTTAACCCTTTACAGGTAAAAGGATTTTGGAGTGTCTGGCCAGGAGGGATTTTATAGTATTGTACACAGGAGGGCTGTTACCCTTCCCTTTATAGTTATGACAGCTGCCAACTAGACATGGAGCCATTGATCACTACCCGTTGAGCCCGACGATCTAGCCAGCTTTCTATCCACCTTATAGTCCATTCATCCAGCCCATATTTCTTTAACTTGCTGGCAAGAATACTGAGGAAAGGTTTTTTTGGTAGCATTTCCTAGAGAAAATCAGAATCTGGATTTACCCACCCATAGCTAAATATATTCACTGAAAGAGAGTATTGTCAAAATAGTGTTTAGAAGTCACTGTTTCACATAGAGTAGGGTAATTTACAGCCAGTGGAGTTACTCCAGAAGTGAATTTGTCCCAAAAGAGCTTTCCACAGCTTTCCAGGTGCATCCGCAAGTCTCTGAATTATCATTTTTTCTACCTGCTAAAGATCTTTTAATGAGACAGGATCTTACCTGATGAGTCTCATGAACTTTTTGTGACTTGACATGCCTTATTTGAACACAGCCAACTCCAACAGATAGTAGGGCTTCTTCCATTAGAGGCAAGGTCCCAGATTCCTGTACCGACTTCACTTCAGCCTGGATTCGCCGTGACTGCCCCTTCACAAGGGAACAATTTGAAGAACTAAAAGTTTTGAATGGTGAAAACTCAGTGACAGAGAGACCTCTACTGGTGGTGGCTTTATAAATAGTCAATTTGAATCTGGTGATTGTTCACTACATAGAAAGTAGTACTGCAAGCTCTCATGTGAGACATGACATTGGTTAGGTAGAACTACCACTCTGCTGCAAGGTCTAAATCCACAAGAAAGTGCGGGACATTCAGTGAGCCCACAATTTGCTTTTGATTAAAGCTTTTCAAAGGTTTAAGAAAAATACTCAAAAACACTGAAAATAGGATTTCCCCCCACATCTGTTTTGACTTTGTACACTTGAGGGGAGAGAATGTAATTTAGCAAATGTTACTGAAGCTGAAATGAACTTTTTGTGGGACTGGATTCCCTGATTGTAAACCGTCACCACTGATGTTGTCAGCACAGCTCTGGGAACAGTGTTTGCTAGCTGCTGACGCTGTACAGTCAGCAGAATAGGAAATCATAGTAGTTTGGGAGTTCACGGAGGTACAGTGTGTATTTAACAAATATTAATTTTATAGAGTTCTCTGACCCGTGGACTATATTTTAAAATATTAAATGTGCAGGAAGCAGAGAATGGGAGAGTAGCTGGCTAAGAGGATTAGTAGTAAGATAATGGGAACTTTAGCATCGGGTTTTCGATCAAGTTCTGCCTGGGTTGATAGTAACTAAAAGTTGTTTTCTGATGGCTGTTCTACGTCCTGTGTGAGAGGAGTTTGATTTGAGCATTTGGTCCAGTCCAGTTTCCAGGTATCCATAACTTTAAAAAATATCCTGTCAACTGGTTCCTCAGTTGACAGTCTCAGCACAGTGGCCAAACACGAAGTAGACAATTGAGAATGACCTATCCTCCAGCATCTGTGGTCTCCTCCAGGTAAGGGCTGAAACACACTGGCAGAGCAGTGTGGAGAAAGCTTCCGCTGCTGTTACCCACACTATGCCTGTTTGATGGGTAATAGAGGACCTCAATCTGCTAAGGGTCTCTAAATACCTACACAAAATATAGAAGGTATCCAATGCATTTCCCTCTAGTCTGTAACTGCTTTAAAGCTGATTGAATACTGGGCCTAAGTTTGATGGTTCCTTTGTCATAAGCCCACTATTAAAACTCTATGAACCAGTACAACATACAAGATTCCCCTGCTTCCTTCAGAATGTTAAAGCCAGTCTCTTTTCACAGATGACTCCTGCAGCTGCCATCTTACCTGTCTGAGCTGAAAGATGCCACCAGTGTTTACGTCCTTGGCGGGAATCACCTCAACTGGACAGTATTCCCCATTCTCATTAAGTTCCAGAATCTGAATCCAGAGCTCCACTTTTCGGGTTACCTCACTCCATCTGGAAAACATACCAAATACCATTTCACAGTTTACATTTTTTCCCCTTCTCTCTCGCTCTTTTTTTTTTAATTGCTGAGCCAAGCTACATGACTGCTCAGTATTTGCAAAGATCACAGGCAGGGGAAGGGGAGATACTTTTCAAGCGTCAGTTATGCCTGGAAAAGATTTTTAGTTACCCATTGCTACTTCTGAGCTAACAACTAGCGATGGCACTTTGGTCTAAAACTTTTGTAGACACAAGACCTCTTCATACTGGTTTCATATCAGAATGAGTGCCAATTAGACATCAAGGTCAAATTCTGTTCTCTCTTATACCCATCCAATCCCACTGACTTCAGTGCAGTTGAACCAGCATTACCGAGGGCAGAATTAAGGTTATTCTGGTTTCATGTGGCCCCCTATCCTCCTTTCTCCATCACTACCATCCTCTCTTCCTTCAAGTTTACCCTACAATGCACTTCTTCCACAAAGCCTATAAAATTAGTCCTCCCTTCTTTGAAAACCCTTAACTGAAAAGAACAAACTTATTCTGCAAGATCCATGTGTGACACTGGCAAACCAGGTGCCAGCTCTTGCCACGGCTCTAGACCTCAGCCCAGCACTGACAAATTCGTTGCTGGAAACCATTTTGTTTCACCTGTGTGTTAGTAAAGATGGGTACTGGATTTATAACAATGTGTTTAGACCAATGGTTCTCAACTCGTGGGTCACTTGTGGCCCAATCACATACAGGTGACATCCCTCAGGGCCATACAGATAGTATATATAGTGTGGATGCAGCCCACATAACACACAGAGAGCAGCATATGTGGCCCACAGTGGTAAATAGGTTGAGAACCACTGGTTTAGACTTTATGAAGTGAAATGCTTGGAAATTGCAGCATACATTAATCTCACTTATAATTTCTTTATCACATGCTATAAGGTAATATTTAAGTTTTTGCTTTGTAACTAAAAAACGTTTGCTCTGAAACTGTGAACCTAGTTAGGAGGGATGGTCTCTTGTCCATCAAGAACATCTATCAAAACTAAATGGGCCAGCTTACAAAGACTTTGTTAATTGCCCCATTAAAAATCAAGAACAGGGCAATGTGCAAAAGGCCTCGTCCCATCAGCTTGAATTTTGGAAATAGGAACTTTTGTAACACGCTTGTCAATTCTCCCTTCTCCTTATTTTTCCCAGTGTTTGTTACCGTCCCATGTCATGTCTTAACTTACAGTCCTATTCTGTTGCCACTAAAGTCAATGGCAAAACCACAATTGTCTCCAATGAAAGCGTGAGCAGGTGCTTAGATTGTAAACCCTTCCTGGCATGGACTGATCTCCAATACATCGGTACGTAACCAAAGAAATTCTCCCGTCCATTGATTTCAGAGTTACAGTTAAATCAACCCCACTATCTTTTGTTTCTTTGCAAAGAACCATACACACATTTATGGTGTTGCCTAAATAATATGACATCATCCAGTCTTGTTCTTCAGGTTTTTCTTCTTTTAATCAAAACTATAAACAATATGAATGAGCATTTATCAATAATTTTTACCTAGTGTAGTGGTTTTGCAATGAACACAGAGGGTTACAAAGACCCAAACATCAGATTCATTTTTACTTAACCCAGGATTTGACTGCTGGTCTCTAACCCACTCTACAATCCAGAAAAATATACCGTGCCTGGGAGGCTGGATTTTAAACTGTGTGGGAGGAGTTTGCTGCCTGCAGTTACCTGTCACGAAGGCTTCGGGTTTTGGCTTGAATTATTCCCAAATCCCACACGGCTGAGTTTTTGCGGGGATCACTTTGCTTGTGCCCGTACACTTCAATTGCCAAAGCCCCTTCGTAAAGATACTCCATGAAGTCTTCAGAAATATTTACAGAAAACTCCTATGTGGAAATGACAAAACTAGTTAAACATTAAAAAGAATAAGTTGTTAACTATTGTGATAATTGGACCTACAAATTTACCCTAATTGTGAGCTCAACTGTGAAAAGTGAGTGAAAGTTCACAAAACATCACAATAACCTTCAACAATAAATGCTGATGGGAAAATTGCATAAGGGCAACAGAAACATGGCATTAGTCCAAACAAAAAGGCCTACTGATATAAATCAAGGACCATGCTAAGGTCCTGACTTGTAAGCAAGAAAAGCATGCAACCAGAAGTCAACAAACCAAAACTGTTGCGTCAGAAATTAGGCCCAATTGGGGAACAAGGAGAATGAGGGGATAGGCTGTTCCACCCATCAGTCCCTTTAGGGGCCTCAAAAAGAGGCTAGAAGGAAAAACTAGCTACTGTAATGCTGGCTGACTGGAAGAGAAGAGAAGAGAAGAGAAGAGAGAGAAGAGAAGAGAAGAGAAGAGAAGAGAAGAGAAG